CCCCCCTCACTTATTGAACCCTCTTACCCTCATACAATTAATACAGACCCAACATTTGAGCGTTGAGTGAATTATACGTTGGTTCGTAAATTATTTGTGAAAAACTGAAGGAATTCTCACTAAAGGCAACAGAGGCAGACCAAACAAGCTTTGCCACTCGACTGGCCAAAGCGATTGGAGCAAAAAAGGTGCTCGAAGTGGGTAAGATGCAACGGGCCATTTTCGTATCTCGGTATTGGACTGGAACTAGCTTGCAACTAAGGCTACTGCAGGGAGTTTAAAAAACCTCATATTAGCCTTTTTCCCAAAAGTAAAAGGGAAGGATTCCGGTACTTGCAGTCAAATGACGCCATCATGCAAATCGCCTATTAAATCACGTTTTCAGTATGGCATGTTGTTTGTGCTTGTGCTTGTGTTCACACTTGGCGTTTGGCATTGTTTCTTGCGTTGCATGTGTAAACATTCACTAGTTTTATATTATAACCTTTTGTTTTGATCGTCAGACATTGTGGGAGGGCAATGTGTGTGACCCGAAGATTAACAGAGACGGCCGAACATGGGCTGAGGTGGAAGCTCTCGACTATCAGAGAGATTCGATTGAGTTGTACAAGTACCATTTTCAGTCAATATACAAGAGATTGCCGTTCATATGCATGCGTTGAACAAGACGATCGCCAAAGGTCCTCGTGTACTTGTAAACGTCCTGCCGATTGGATCAGGGCTTACAATAGTCACGAAATTGTGACACAATTCTTCAAGATCAGTTAAAATACTTCAACTTTTTAGATAATACGCAGCTCTTACAAGGTCTTTCATCATTGGTCCATTCGCTATTTTGTGTATCGAGCGTATCAAACCAATCACTGGCATTGCTTGTGTTCACGTGACTTAACTCAACCTTTAGGAAAGGAAAGGTTGACGGAAAAAGGACTGTTTTTTTCAGCTTTTTTTTTCTTGGTTAAGTCAAGTTTGGTGTACCCGATAGTTAGTTCGATGTCATTCTAATTCTATCTTTATTCCTACGGTGAGTCTCAATAAAGTGCAAAAGCGTGCTAACAACTGTATTTGTTTTCACAACGTTAGACTGATTTCGGGACAATTAGTTCTACTCTTTCATACTATTCACCTTAATTGCGACGATTTAAGGAAGGAGGCTAAAAATACAAATAACGGTGTCTAAAAAGGGTGGTAAATTGATCGAAACATCGTATGCATAGATTACCCGCGACCAAGTAGGGAAAAATGAGCTACACAATAGTAAGGTGAGAATTTTACGTTTGAAAACACTTTGTAATGCGCACCGCGTACTCTCCACACTACAATCGAAAACGCTAATTGTTTTCATCGAACTGAAAACACATAAATTTGAAATGCCCATCCAGAGCGAAG